CAACCCGGATATGCGCAGACGGCGCTAATGTGGGATCCCTCTATTATCTACTGTACATGTAAGTAATTGTGTTATTTTCCTAATATTACAGAGGTCCGTTTATCCGTCGGCCTGTCGACCTATGTACCATCCAATCAGTCTGTTAACCCTATTTTATTGAGGAGAGCTTCAATAAAGATTTCGTCAGTTGTAGAGTAAACAACAGAGACAGTGTCGTCGTCCGTTAATCGCAGTCGTATCAGTGAGAACCTTGCGCTTGCGGCACAGAAACCTATCCGGCAGCCCGGCCGGATAATACGACATTTAGTTATACTTGTAGGCCTTTTGAAAAGCAAACCCTGCATGACTTTTATGCAAGGACCAATATTATCAAATAAATAAAGCAATGTCAAAAAATCTCAAATAAGAATTTAACAATTTATGGCAAAAAGATATTTCAGCTTTGCTAGCAGGGCACAATATGTGGAAGTATTGTTCACTGATCACATGCATGACAGGCAATTACAGTAGACTCCAGCTAAGTTGAAATGGTACAACTCTGCAAATCACGCAAGTCGGCAGTCTCTCTCATCAAGTCCCCATGTCTCCCTAATGCATATCCATTAGAATGTTTAATTTGTAACAGTGTTGTATCCGAGACCTTGATGTCTGAGACCAAGACCGAGACCAAGACCTACTCCTTCAAGACCGAGACCATGACATCCGAGACTGATACCAACCATAAACCAATATTTAGTTTGTACCAAAAGGTAAATAGGGACAAACATATGGCAGTACAATTGAGTACAAAAAAAATAAAATGAAAACATTAGCATAAACTCATACACACAAATAGGTCAAATATTTGTTAAAGAATGTCTCAGTTCTTTTATCAGTGATACTGCTCTTCTCACCCTGGTCTGGTCATTTTTATAACCTGAGTGTCCCAAATGATATGACGTGGATGTGAACATTAAAACAAATATCCTTAGACTGTTTTTTGTAAGCAAAATACTGAAAAACAAGTATTCAAAAAAGATGCACCGTAACAAAACTACTAAAACAACACGTACCATTTTGATATCGACAGTAACCAAGACGTGACACACATTTTTATTAAAAAGGCGATTCCTGGTGTGTACTAATGTAGCAGCACATAGGCCTATTCTTTGAATTGTCAAAGCAGTTTGAACATCTTTTAAATTTCAAATCTTCCAGTAGTCATTTCCAGTTTATTTGAATAATTTTATGAAATCAGTAATGCAGAAATGAATTTTAGTTACTTTGAATTACTGGGAAATCAGTTAACATTTTGACTGGGTTGTTTTAAGAGTGTATAGTGAAGGAAATTTTGTCACGATTGTATTAAAGTTGTATTTTGTAATAAAGCTCTTGTAAAACGAAGTTACTTATCGATAAATTAGGGTATAATTGGGGTTCTGTATCAGTGGTGTGTGTGTGAGCGCTCCAAATTCAGCTTTGTCCGAGCAGCAATGCTCAATGCTCACAGCCACCCTTTTGACGTTTCACTGACGAAGGCGGTGTTTCACGGCAGCTTTAGATGTGGCACACAGGCTGACAACTGAGCTGGGGACGCTCTGCGTTGGGACACTCTATACTTGTCGTGCAAATTTCTCTAGGGCTCATTTCACCCTCAATTCGTCTGTAATTTGATTGGTTGGCTGTAATCCACTCAGAATCCCATCAAAGTCTATAAAATGTTGTCGCAGTTAATCCAGTGGTGCTAAATGTGGAGATCAAGCCAAGCCTCTTGAAGATCCAAGCTATTAAGTCAAGATTCCAACGATCTGCATCCGAAAAGCGACGGCTTTTTGTGTTGTATGTTCCAGTGCTGTTACTGCATGCCAGCAGGCCTTCCAGTGTGACCAGTGTGAGTGCTGGCAACATCAGGTTTTCTTCCGAAGAGTACTGGTGGATAGTGCAGGATCCTTTGCTCCCTGAGTTGTGGGTGTGCAATGAATGTGTCTCCTGTCCAGCTTCGGCTTCTTCTCTCATCCCAGAGGAACCCAGGGAGGGCAGCAGCGAAAACAACTTACATATCGCTACACTGTTTGACATCCCATCTCCACCCGAGGAGACACCCCTTCCCGACTTCCGCATGGCGGAGGGTGGGTCTCAATGAGGGAAGGTACTGGTCGTTGACAACCACGGCTACACTAACGCCTGGAAGACGACAAGCCCCACCAGCACAACCTGGCTGTGCAGCGTCCGAAGCAAGTCCTACCGATGCTCTGTCACAGTTTTACAGCGAGGTGCTCAACTTCGGTGTTGACTGCCACCACATACACCCAGCACGGCCAGTTAAAGACGCAGCGGTGGAAATTGTTGCCAAGGTGAAAGAGGTGGCCCAGGGCGACCTTTCCCGCTCCGCCAGTGCCACTGTAGAAGAAGTTCAGGTGGAAAAGGGCACCGGGTTTTCTTCCAGCTGCTCAAACGCACCACCAACCGAACCTGTCAAGGTCAGCGCCTCCCAGAGACAAAGCATCTTTCCTTGGACATCATGGACAGCCACATTCCAAGCAATTTCCTCCGGAAGGACATCCAGGTCGGTGAGGCAAGGTATCTTATGTTCTTCACCGACGAGCAAGCTGCTGTCCCCGACGGTGCCAAGACCTGGTACATGGATGGAACCTTCATGCTGGTGCAGCGTCCTTCAGCCAGCTGTTTTCCATCCATGCATTCATCAAGGGAGATGTGGGTGACATCAAGCACGTGCCTCTAGCATTTGTTATGATGTCAAGACGGACCAAGAAAGACTACAAAAGGGTAGGTCATTTTTTGGTATGGTGTTATTGTTATTATTTGGTATTGTAACAAAATTTGGGTCTTTCCTTTTTTAAGTTAAGAAGTAAGTTCCTTTAAAATGTTAGTGGGCTGGCCACAGTACTGCAGGCCCTTCTTGTTCATTAATCTTTTGATATTTCATTTGACCCTGGAGCCCTGGCCTGGCTATGGCTCTGTTTTCCTCAGTAATGCTAATTTGGTTTGTTCATTGCAGTCTTAAGAATTCCTTTTCTTGTTTCTATAGCAGTGTTGCAACATTTCTTACATAACTTTCTCTGCAGGCTTATAAAAGCTGCCTTTTAGGCTAGTAGGTGTGGACTTACGGCTGGGGCACGGTAGTGGATGGTGGTGAGATTTTGATCCCTTGTTTTCATTTCTGTTCCTGCTGCAGGATCCTTAGTTGAATGAAATATATTCTCGCTATTACTTTACACCACCACTACAATTAATTTTTCTGGAAGGGTTCGATGGTTTGCGCAATTTTTCTGTGAGTATGTTCTAATTTATTTTCCTTAGTAGTTTTACCTTGTGCCCATTTCCCTTGCCACGCCAGACAACGGTGTTTCACCGTAGTTGGTCCCATCTGGTACTATTTTATACCATTCAGACTGTTTCAGTTTGCAATTCGCCCCCCCTTTTTGGTCATAGGTTAAGAAGCGCCTATTAAATTAATAAATTCAATTGTTTGAAGGTATAATTTGAATTTCCTTCCTTGTATTCTCACTGAGTTTTTTTGTTTAACTTAATAGAAATATAGTTAGTTCCCCTTACTGGCGGCTGGGCCTGTTTAGGTTGCCGTTACTGTATTATTATTCTTTTAAAAGGGGAATAATGGTAATATTATTGAGCCAATTACTCTTTTCATTGGTATCCTTATTACAGGTGGAGAAATAATTAACAAGTTAATTAAATAAACAAGTTAATTCTTTTCTCTTTTCCTTTTTTAAATTATCCTAATGGATAATAATGGTAATGATTGTTGAGTCAATTTTTCTTTTGATTTGTTTCCTTGTTGTAGGTGAATAAATAATTGAACAAGTTCTTTTCTTGTGTATTTTTCTTTCACTTTCTATCCATTTCAGGTGCTGTGGGCCCTACAGCGACGGCTTCCTTTACACGCAAGCAGTCTCTGCAAAGTGGTCGTGGACTTTGAATCCACCGTTTGGGAGGCAGTGAGGTCCGTCTTTGGTGACATGCACATGTACGGCTGTCTCTACCACTGGACCCAGGCTGTCTGGCGGAAGTCTCAAGAGCTGGGCCTGCAGGGAGGTTACACCACAGATGCATCTGTGAACGACTTCATTAGGCAGTTGATGTCTCTGCCATTTCTACCCGCAGAACACATCCCCGAGGCCTTCCACCAGCTGGCAGTGAGAGCTACCTCAGCACCACTGCATCAGCTATGTGACTACACATCTCCGCAACAGGGCTGCAGCATCCTACCTGGAGCACAGCCAACTGGTCCGTTTTTATGCGGAGCATCAGGACGAATAATAATGAAGAGGGCTGGCACCAGCGTCTCAATGGCCGGGCAGGATGGAGCAAGATCACTTCTACACTGTCATCAAGCTCCTCCACCAAGAAGCTGCTCTGGTGACGATGCAGATGCGCCTGGTCAAGGAGTCTAAGCTTCACCGTCGTCAGAGGAAGAACGTTCGAAGAAAGCAGGGGCAGCTGTTTCTGCTGTGGGAGTGCTACCAAGACGTCCAGTCTCCTTGCCAAATGCAAGCATCTCACTGGACCATCACTGTAGGAAAACCAGGCCTGAATCTTCAAATCAACCAGCTTTTTTCAGAGCCAACACACTTTCAAAAGAAATAATTCAGTCCTGTCTGAGAAATGATAATTAATTGAAATAAAAATAAATAAAAATAAACAAAACTAATTAGAAAAAATTCCCAATAAAAGAACGAGAGCTTATCTGTCTGTTTGCCAACAGAACAGAGGGCTTTTTTGCATTCTTTTGTACATTGAAACAACCACGACATCATCACATCAAGTCATTTTTCGTATATAACACCCCTCTTTTATGTTATCTGCAAAGTTTCAACCTGATAGAACATGTACTTCAGGAGATATTAGGCTTTAAACAGTGCAGGTTTAATGTCAGGTCAATTTCCTCTAAAGCACTCCCTTTTCAAGATATCTGCAAGATTTGAACCCGATCGGACAGCTACGTCAGGAGATATAGGGCCTTGAAGTGTGCACCTTTAATGTCATGTGACTTGTCTCCTGATGAAGTCATGATCACACGAGGTCAAAATTTGTCTCAAGCACTCCCTTTTCAAGATATCTGCAAGATTTGAACCAATTTGGATATACACTTCAGGAGATATAGTATTTTAAATGAGGCACCATTTAATGTCACGTGACTCGTCTGCTGATGGTATTGTCATCACCTGAGGTCAATTTTCATTTGTAAACCTTCCCTTCCTAACTACCTGCAAGGTTTCAACCCTATAAGACATGTACAATACAATATACAACACAAAACATAATACTTATCGTGGAAAAGGCACAGATTAGATATCTTACACATTTGTCCCTTTTGGTATTCCATACATACGATCTGCTCTCGGCAGCACGTGGTCGTCATTTTGGCAAGTCCCGAGGATAATGCCCTATGCACTGTGCGCCGTCTATGTTGCAGGCAGATATTGGGTGTCTACACACACACAGTAGCATATTCACAGCATGCAAATTGGATTTTTGAGTTGGCAATTTATATTTTAGGGTTTTTTTGTCGACGGCGCTTCACATGTGTGAAAAAGTACACCAGTCATGCACTTCGTGCACCTGACTCCAATGTTTTAGCTGTCATCTCGTGGACAATTCACGCTTATATCTCTTACGGTTGATTTTTTTTACCGAATTTTGAAGAATAAAAGAAACTTCCGGTGTGATGACGTGATAAGCCCCAAACTTCACACACGTGTTGATTGGGTAAAGTCAGTCATCTACATCAATTTTTAGGCAATTCGGACAAACATCTATTCACAGACATCTATTAAAAACGCATTTTTCTAATTTTTAACCTGTCGCTAGAGGGCACTCGACAATTAGGTGATGTCATCGGTAGATATTTGAAAAATGCTATACCTCAGCAGACTAACACTGTTGAAAACAACTTGATACCTATTACCACTTTTAAACAATAAGACCACTTTAGGTTTTGACCGGAAGGAGGGGTCACGTGATTTGACCCACACGAGATGAATTGAAGACCACATTTTTTCATGGCACCTGCTGCAAACAGAATGTTGCGGGAGTCCAGAGTCAATTTATATGGATTTTTATAAATTAAACGGAACATTTAAATATTCAAAATTTAATAATGAATCACGTGATGACGTCATCATGACGTAAATACTTCAGAATTATCTTTGCTTTATAGTTAGTACTAGCTGCAAGTTTGACGACAGTCAATGATTACTAAGGTACGAAAATAGTGCCTCAAAAAGGTGTACAAAGTTAATGGGCTGAAATAAATATCTAAAAATCGAAAATAAATCATTAAATGATGTCATCATGACGTCATGTTTCTAGGACCATCTATGCATAAGGGTTGTTCATTGGTGTAATTAGTTTGAAGTCACCGGTAGAAAAAACGTGTACAAAACAAACAGGCTTTTGAGCAGAAGAAGAAAAAGGAAGAAGAAGAAGCAAAACAAAAAAGAACAAAAAGAATGCCTTTTTCGCAAAATTGCGAAAACGCCAAATAAATAAATTCCCCCCTCCAAAAAAATTAATTGCTGCAGTAAAAAATTAAAAGAAACAAAATATCCCCCCCACAAAGAATTGCCGCACTAAGATTATAATTTAGTTCTTTATACGGGGGACAACTTGACTTGGGGACGAGTTGACTCGGGAACGAGTTGACCCAGGGATGACTTTACTTTGGGACGACTTGACGAACATTCGTTTCTACTGCTAAAAAAGGTGACAAAGCCAAGGAATGGCCGGGAGCCAGTGACCCCTGCAACAACTCAAAATACAATCCAAACTTCAAGCCTCTGAAAACTTGGAATGATCAAAAACTTCTGAAATAGTACAGTGAGTTAGTAAACAGAACAAGATTCCTCTTTATGCCTAGTTTATTTTTATTATTATTTTTTTTTATCCTCTTTATGCCCAGCTTTCATGAATTTCAAATGTTTTTCAGTGGTTTAGTAGAGCATAATTTCCTGTTGGGTTGTTGCCAGGATAATTCAGCGTTTTCTGGTCCATGTACATGTAGGCACTCAGTTTGGACTGATGGAATGCTACGCTTCGCTACATCGCTATGTCAAATACTCGGAGCACTGTAACAGAAATCATGTTGCATGTTTTCATTGAGTCTTGGACTAGATATTTGGAGTGTTGCAACCGAATTGCATGCATACATTTACAAGTGTGTTTGTGTCGGTCATCATTTCATGTACATGTAAGTTGGCAAAGTGAGGACTTACAGTAGAAGTCGGCTTTGCTTAAGTCACAACTTTTGGGTCCAGAGAATGCCAAAATACACAAAGCCGGAGTTCATTGTAGTTTATTCCTTTCTTAACATGTTCATGTATACTCACCACTCAGCTTATCGGCAAGATTGATGTCCCCAACTTCCCTTAGTGCTTTGCAGAGAGCTTCTCTCTGATTGACATCACCTGGTTGTTTCTTCCTCCATGCAACCAGCATCCCATTGATCTGATCAACAACACTGGAATGATTGTCCTTGAAGTGAGAGACTCTTGCTTGGTTGAAGCCAAGCTTTGCAGCAAGTCTTGTCCATTCATTTGCATCAATCTGTTCAGCTATGTCATACAGACTGCTATCATCCAACTCTCCTGTTGTGAAGAAAACGACAATGGAATCTTAATCTATTTGCACTGTAGAATGGACATGGTAAATGGTCCCAAACAGCCTCCTTTGTATCAAGAATGTCAAATGTATAAATGTCAAATATAAATGAAAAGATTCATGTTTAAATATTCATGTGAGTTCATCATGGTTTTCTCACTTACACCCCTCCACATAATAACTGATGCCTCTTTCCTTATACCGACCATATTCTATGTCACGAAACCTATTTTTAGGGGAGGGTATGGAAAATGTGAAAGAAAGCAAAATATATCTATTTACCTTTGAATGTGGGGCAAAATGGTTCAATAGTCTTATAATGCATGCAACTCATACCTGTTAAAGTATAAATTATTTTTTTTCAACCACTTAACACTTTGCTGGACAGTAAATCAGTACACAATAGAAATTTTTGAAATAAAAAGAATTAAGAATTACCTGTAAGGCTCACGATGTTGCAACATACAACATTCAGACTGCATAAAACTTACCATGTACTCCACATTTAACATAAATAATCATTGACTGTAACGTTACAGTTGAGTCCTTCCAAAGTCCAATGAATGCACACATACGTACCAAAATAAGTCGCACGGCAGGAACCAAGAAATGTTTCCTTTCCCAATTAAGAACTACATGTATCGATACATTAGTGCTGCTGGCAATATGGTGGATGGCTCTTGCTAAGGGCTACCCCTAGGAAGCAGCTTTTCATAAAATTCATCCCAGCTGTGGAAGAAAATCTGAATGTTTCAACTTACCCTGTTTTCCAACTAAGTCCCCTACTGAAGAATGTGAGGCTCTCGCAATGACCTTTCTAGCAAAAGTAACTCAGAAATTATACCTAAAACATTGGTTAGTGCACATACCTGGTGTCTGTGAGCATAAGACAGCCCTCTGTGTGGTTGGTTGCTTGCATGCACTTGGTTGATTCTCTGATACAGTATCAAATAAAACAAAACACATTACAATATCAAGTAGAACTTTGTGACTGTAATATGTTCAACAACCATGTCTTCCAACTGCTCTTTATTCATAAAAAATACAACTATATGTATTGATTGCTAAATATCTTTCTGAAAAGAAAGTATTTAATATCCTTTTCTTCAAAGTTCCAATGTAATTTTGCATTAGGATAGTTTTAAGATTTAATGAGATTTTATAACAAATGTCCCTCCTTCAAGCATGAACCCATTATTTTCCCTTCTAAGCAAAGATGCATTCTTGACACAGTTGTCAAAATCAGTCAAAATCAGTCACATTCCCCATATGTGTCTGTGTGACTAGGGCAAATCAAGTGGAAAGAATTTTGGACTGTTTTTGACGGTTTAAACAGAAGGAGGGTTATGTATTTCATTAGTTATGTACTTTCAAAAAATACAAATTTCACAATCTTGCCTTTGCAATGTTAAGTCTCCCTTTTGGACGGTGAAAAATGATAGCTACAAAAATCCAAATTAACAAAATATATCAATAGAAACTTGCTGTTTCAAACCTGGGTGATAATTTCAAGTCTGAGTTCTATCAAGATTATGTCATATAAATTTTACAAAAACGGCATCTTCCCTAAAGATTGCACTTACTAACTTTTTTATGGATCTCACAAAAAGATAAATATTGAACACAGAGTCTTCAGCTCATCCAAATAACACAACTATTGCTTTCTCCCATCACACTGTAACTTACCTGTCAAGTTGTCAGCTAGTTGTGCATTTCCAACCTCCTTCAATGCTTTGCAGAGAGCTTCTGTCTGATTGACATGAACAGGTTGTCTGTTTCTCCAGGTGACCAGCATCTGGTTGATTTGTTCTGCAGTGAAGGAGTGATCACTTGGAAAGTGGGAGACTTCTGCAGCACTGAAGCCAAGCCTTGTTGCCAGTCCCCTCCATTCACCTGCATGAATCTGCGTAGATATGCTGTAGAGGCTGTCATCATCCAGTGGCCCTGTTATAATAAGAAAGGCAGACATTATAAAATAAAATCTGTACTGAAATGAGCAATGTTCACAAACATGCAGCCCAATTCACTTTCTTTAATGACACCAATGAAGTCATCCAACAGTGTTGTAGTCGAGACCATCACAAGACCAGACATAAGACCATGCACAAGACCAGTCACAAGTAACTGGGTGAACAATGACAAAGGAATGCTTTTGTTGCAGTTCATTTGAATGACTTGAATTGACTTGAATTTCGACTGAAGGTCTTGTGTTGGTCTTGCGCTGGTCTTGTGTGGTCTTGTGAAGGTCTAACACTGTCACCCAATTAAATTACCGCAAAGACAATTGGATGGGATACCTGTGTACACATATTTGACAAGTCCTTTCAGTACTCCTCCATGATTCAAATGAGTTCCATGTTTGAGGTAAATGTAGAACAGGAAACTTTGTGGCCCATCACAGAAAATTACATGAAGATTTAACATGAATGTAAGTTTATGTGAAATTGAAAACAAAAAACTCAATTTCAGATGGTGAAAAATTGGAAGTATACTTTACAAACTCATTTCAGTGCAATTCTGTTTTTTTATTTTAGGGAACCATAAATTTGCCAGCATGCATGAATCATGATAGGCTTAAGTTGGCAAGGATAACAAACACTTTCTTTAGCAAAGTTAGTACAAGTATTTAGTTTCACAATACTCCACTTGAATAACACACATCACCTGTTGCTTCGTGATGTCTCCCTAATCTCCTCTGGCTCTCCCCTCCATCCCAGTCAGCCATTCTGTTGGTAATTAATGAAGTCTTTGTATCTAGTCAATTGGCAACTCAGTGACAGCATATCAAATAGTAGCAAGCAGTTAACAAAAACAGGTCTCTGAGAAATTGGACATCCTTTAAATTTGGGGACCAATGGTTTCTGTGTCCCTGTCATATCTGGCAGATGATTTTGAAAGGTTAAAATATATTCTTTGATCTCCCAGAGTGAAAAATGATGCAAATTACCTGCCAAACAAATATTTACAAGTAGTTTGAAATTAATTTCAATGATATTCCCAGACATGCCAAGTTACAAAGGTCAGATGTAACAAGACAACAAATATGTCACACTTTTGGGCCCCAAATTTCTAGAATGACCCAAATCTTAGGATAGTTAACGCCTTCTTTCCGGAATTTCTTTCCGAAAGCCGACTTCAAGAATTCCAGCCTCGCTTGGCCACAAAGGCCACCTGCCAAACCAAAAATTCTCGGTTTGTGGCCCAGTGTGCTCTGCAAAGTGAAAAGGCTGATTGTTCGGTGGCATGTGGCTCTACTCAAGCTTCCACATTCCCGTTGCCTCTTTTCAAAGTGGGGCTACTGTGAAGCTGGTGATTATGAGTTCAGTCTTTTCATTTCTGGGCTACACACAACGACCAATTACCATATACA